GCAGAGCTGCCGCCTCCAGCCCTGCCCGGCCACCGGGTTTGCAGCGCTCCAAGTCGGACCTGAGTGAGCGCTTCTCGAGGGCCACTGCTGACCTGGAGCGCTTCTTTAACTTCTGTGGGCTGGACCCCGAGGAGGCCCGTGGTCTGGGCGTGGCCCACCTGGCACGAGCCAACTCGGACATCATGTCCCTGGCCGGGCCCAGTGCTGGGCCGGGCAGCTCCGAGGGGGGCTGCTCCCGCCGCAGCTCTGCCACCGCCGAAGACCGGGTGCGGGAGCGTGTGCCCTATGGGGTGTCGGTGGTGGAGCGCAATGCCCGCGTGATCAAGTGGCTGTATGGCCTGCGGCAGGCCCGGGAGACCCCTGCGGTCGAGTGCTAGATCTCTGGACGTTTGCCTTTGTAGAGGTGCAGTTGGCCCTTGACCGCTCCTGGATGCATTTCGGGATTCTGTTGAACTTGACTCAGAGGCTGGACCAGCATGCACCTGGCAGGACTCTCTCTTGGAGAGGGTTGCCTCTTGACCTTGGTCCATTCCCACCCCGTGCCACCAGCCCTTCACATACAAGTTTTTTGACATGTGTGTTCTCCTGCTTGGTTCCTCTCCCGGAGCAGAATTTGGGGCATGTAGCCCTCCTCATTGAGAATGAGTGATCCCAGATCTCTCTGTGTCTGTCTACCTGTCATTTCCTCCTTCCCTCCTTGGCTTCTGTCATTTGCTGACTTCCTTGTCCTTTCCTTGTTCCCTGGGAACTCACCCGGGGCAGGGGTGGGGAGAAGTGGCCTTTCCAGGAGGTGCTTGGCCTAAGGGGATAGACTACAGGAGGGACTGGCTTGGAGTCAGCAGGCTCTGACTTCCTTCCCCGTGGTTAATAAACACAGATGCTTGTTTCTCAAGAGAAAAAAAAAAAGATATAGGCAATGAATAGATCATTGATTATACAAAATTCAGTCATTCTATCTCCAGCCTCATTTCTGTCATCAAGCCCATAACTTTCAGCTGCTTGGCCTTCTTCCTTGTTCTTATTTTTGCATTCTAGTCCCAATGCATCTTGATTGTATGTTCGAGCAATATCAGAGTGCAAATGTTGGAGGAAATTTTCAATTTCTTTCCCTTTGGCTTTAGTTGTTGGTGCATATATTTGAATGAAAGTTATATTAACCAGTCTCCCTTGTATGCATATTCTTCCTTGTATACAGTTAGCATTCTCTCATTCAGAGCGTTGTAATTCAAGATGGATCTAGATGTGGTCTTTTTAATTATTAATGCAACCACACTTTTCTCTTACTTTTTAATTCCTGGCATAGTAGAACACATGATTGTGTGATTCAAAGTGGCCAATGCCAGTTCATTTCAGCTTGCAGTAAGTATATCAGTCTTCATGTGTTCCAATCTTGGTGCATCAACAATGTCCAATTTTCCTAAATTTTTACTTAATATACTCCATGTTCCAATTATTAGTTTATAATGGTTCCTCCTCATTGTTTAGTGTCTTCTAATCTGAGGGCATGTTTGTAACTATTCCTTCTCATTTTTTTAGTATCTTTCAATTTGAGGGCTCTGTCTCCAGTGCTATATATTTGGCTAAATGTGCTCTATTGTTTATAGGGATTTTTAAGACCTGCTATTTCAGAAGTGGATGGTCAATCCTTCTTCCTAGTCTTAATGTAGGAGCTCTACTTTAGTGCAGCATCTGACAGACAAGCATTGTACCCATGAATGACCTGCCTCACTCTGAAAGAACAATGGCATTCGTGCTGGCATGACCCCCAGGCCTTCCTAACCTTATGCCACTGCCATGATAAGGAAGCTTCTGCTGCCCACACCATGATATCTGTATTAATAGACAATGCTATTGATTTCTATGAATTGACTCTTTTAGTGTTATCCATAAGGTGTTGCACTACTAAGCCAAAGGTGGTCTTTTCCCCTGCCCTTTCCAGCCTCTGAAAACCCACTAGAGAGCCAGCTATTAGTTGACATGAACTCAATTGCAATGAGTTGAGTCTTGATTATCTGTTTCTTTTTTTTTTTTTTTTGTCATCCTTAGTCATTTTCTAGCTCTCTGATGCACAGCAAGTAATTCTGAAGACCATGGCCTGACATCACTACTCTTTAGGGCTTTGGTGAGGTCCCTGATAGCAGACTTTCCCAACGCAATTCGTCTTTTGTTTTCCTGACTGCTGGTACCAAGAACATTGATTGTGAAGTTGAGCAAGCAGAAATTTTTAACAACCTAAATCTCTTCTCCTTCCATCATGGTTCTGCCAATGGGTTCAGTGGTGAAAATCTTTGTTTTCTTGATCTTGAGCTTAATTTCCATATTGAAGACTTTAGTCTTTGACCTTCTGCAGCAAATGCTTCAGGTCCTCCTCAGTGAGCAAGGTTGTGTCATCTGCATATAGCAGGTCTTGATGAGTGTTTCTCCAATCCTGATGTCACACTCCTCCTCATCAAGCCCAACATCCAGAATGATCTATTCCACATACAGATTGAAAAGGTAGGGAGATAGGGTGCATCCCTGATGCACTCCTTTCCTGATCTGAACCATGCTGTGGACTTGAAGCTCCAACTTCTTGATTACCAATGACTTGACTGTTTGCAAGACTAGTTGTGAGAGAGTGGGATGAGCAGACATCCTGAATAGTCAGCTGAGTCTTGTGAGGGACCCTTTTAATGAGGGGCTAGTCCAAGTTTCAAGGTGCTCTGGTGGTGCAATGGTTAAAGCACACAAATGCTAACTGAAAGGTCAGTAGTATGAATTCACCAGCAGCTTGTTGGGAGAAAAAGACAGTGATCTGCTTCTGTAAGGATTTACAGAATATTTGGAAGCTCTATGGAGCGAGTAGCTCCTCTGGGTCTTTTAGGAGCTTCTCTGAACAGTAAGGAGAAGAGATGCCCATTTTCCAGGGCAAAGGATGGAAGTGGATACCTAGGAGCCAAGACCCTGGACCCCCAAACCAAACTTACCGACTGCTTCATGTTTGACCTTTTCCTGGCAGGAGAGAAGCTTTATTTCAGCCCTTTCTCAGCTGTCCTTCGGGGACATCTGCAGCAAGTGGGTCCTGGTGCATATTGTGAGGTTGTGGGCTGCATTGAGGCCCAGCTGGATCAGAAAATCAGATGGAAGGGGCCCACTCTGTGTGTGTGTGTGTGTGTGTGTGTGTGTGTGTACAGCTACAGCTGGCTTTCCCTCCTGCCATAATGCAGTTTTTGCTGTGCCAACTGTGGTCTGTTTTCAGGATGATGGCTGCCTGCCTGCAGGGTGAGGGGAGAGTAGCCTCACTCCTGTGCAGGCCTGCTCTTTCTCTGCAGCCTGAGCCCATCCTGCAGCCGCATCCTGCCTCCCAGGACATGGATGCACCACCCGCCTGTCTCCCTGTCACTCAGGGTGACTCTTTAATGACTATAATCAGGGTGTGCGCTGAGAGGAGAGGGAGGGCCAGCCAGCCGAGAGTGCTCTCCCAGGCCACCCAGTCCATTAGCAGGGCAGTGCCTGTCACAGCCACAGGAGACAGGTGAACCAGTGGCTGCAGGACCAGAAGTGTGCTTGGACTGGGCAGGAGGAGGGCACCCCATCTTCTCCACCTTCTGCTTCCCTCCTTTTCCCTCCCTCTGGCCTACTGCTCACGAGCTTGCTAGGTTCTAATTATAAATGGTTTGACAACTTCAGGCGAGGCCCAGTAATTAAAAATAAAGAGGGAGACAGGCAGCATTGTCTCCTAACGATGCCTTTAATTGGTGGAGTTAATTTTAACCAGGCCTAGCGAGCCTGTGCCTGGAGGAGGGAATTCCAGGACCAACTCTCGCTGGGATCCCTGGGCGCTCAGCAGGTCCTTCCCGGTTGGGGCCCGACTCCACTGAAAACAACTCAGGGCAGGAGCTGTGGTGGCTTCTACTTACTCATGTCTGTGCCCACAGTAAGTGACCTCTGTCCTGAGAGCTGAAGACCAGGAGCCTCTCCACCCTGGAGGACTCTCACCCCTAGAATCCTGCCTTTGAGGGAAGATACTTTTCCAGTAAAGGGTGGTCACCATCAGGGAATGGAAAGAAAGCCTCTCAGACTGACTCATGGGACAAGGACTCTACTCAAAGGTCAAGGGAGGCTCTCATGGACACCCCAGGACAAGAGCTGGACCACTCAGCATGAAATAGGGGAACAGGAGGGTGGAACAGAAGCTGTCTGTCCCCCAAGGCCTTGCTCTGGGATCTCCCACCCTCTTAGAGGAAGAGGGCTGCTTCCCTCTGTTCAGCCCCTTAGCTGCCCTAAGTCCTCTCTCTGGTCCTCTTAGTACCTCCCAAGACAGATTAGCATTTTCCAATTTGACTGTATTTTATAAAAAATGAAAAGTCAGAATAGAAAATAAAGAGTAAACCCAGTTTTCCCAAAGGACAGGTTTCGAATGCTATGAATAAACAGAGAAACTTAAAAATAAAAAAAAAATCACATCATCCAAGAACCAGAGCCTGACCTCTCAAGAGTTGAGGCAGTTCTGTCCCTGGCCCCATAGGGTGCCTCTGGCAGAGGCTACAGAAGACTCACCTCAGTTTTATTGGGAGAGAGGCCCTGAGAACAGTGGGTGTTGTTAGGTGCCATGGAGTTGGCACTGACTTATTTCAGCTCTATGAACAACACGACGGAATCCTTCTCGACCCTGGGCCATCTCTGCTCTCCTTAAGCCCTTTGTTTCAGTCACATAGTAGGCACTCACAAAGAAGATGCCTTCGGTTTCCCACCAAGATATCTTGCTCCCTCCTACCAATTGCTGTTGAGTTAGTACTGACTCATGGTGACCCCAAATGTGCCAGATTTAGAGCCTCATAGGGTTTACAAGGGCTGAGTTTTTTGAAAGTAGATCAAGTTTGTCTTCTCAGGTGTCTCCGAGTGAATTTGAACCTTCAATGTTTTGGTTAGCAGCTAAGCACATGAAGTGTCACACAGGAACCTCTATTCTCACCTATTGTCGTTGTCAGGTGGTGTTGAGTTGATTTTGACTCATGGTGATTCTGTATGATGAAGTAGAGCTGTCCTGTAGGATTTCTTGGGGTTCAGTCCCACCAGCTGCTTCAAAAGAGAAAGATGGACAGTCTCTTCCAGTGAGATTTACTGCCTCAGAAAACCCACTGGAGGGTCGGCTATGGGTCTGTTCTAACTCAACGGTACACAACAACAACAACAATCTTTATGGAAGGAACCCTGATGATGCAGTGGCTTAATGTTTGGTTGCTAGCTGAAAGGTTGGCTGTTTGATTCCGCAAGCCACTCTGAGGGAGAAGGATGAGACAGTCTGCTTGTTAAAAGATTAAGCTTTGGAAGCATTTTGAGCATTCCACACTTGCCTATGGAGTCTGAATGAATTCTATGACACTGTTTTGGTTTT